CCCCCATCCCGCCACACACACACACAAGCAGAGAGATTTCTATGGGGAAAGGATGTTGGCCGCCCTGGTGACCGGTGGAGGCACAGCTAGATCCACCCTCCAGCCCCAGGCCTTCATGACATGCCTATCAGCTGCATGGAGCTTCATTCAAGGATTTTCTGAGCCTGATGGATTTATGGTGATAATTCAGCTGCCTGGGGAATAAAACTATTGGATGCAATCTCTGGAATTGCACCCAGAACATTTCTGGATGCTAATAGTGGTTTTAAGGAAGGCCTTGGCTGAGTGCCTCATGGATTCCTGCAGCCTGGCCCACAGCTTCCTGCAAGGGCTGAGATCTCTGTCCTTGTCTCAGACAGGAATGTTTGGTTGGGTCTCTGCCAGCTCCATTTGGGGGCTCCCTCTGAAATGGGTGAAGTACTATAGCTCACAGGATTGGTGCTGAGGATCACAAAATAGACATTGATTTGTGGAACACCCAGGATTGTGCCTGGCATGCAGCCAACATTCAGCACATGAACTGGGAGTATTCCTGTCCTCCAAGAGAGAAAGATTTCACTATGGGCCATTCCACCTGTGTCGAGGAGGCAGGTGCTGTGCTGGGCTCTAGAATGAAGATGGACTGAGACTGCAGTCTAGCCCTTGGAGGCTCACAGTCTGAAGGGAGCCCATGTCCTTGGTCACTAGGCCACATTGTCTGGAGCTGAGGGAAGCAATGTTTACTCCCTCCTTGGCCGCTGGTGACTGTGTGACTTTAAGCAGATCAACTCCCTTCTCTAGGTCACTGGTAGGGAAACCATCCAATTGCTCTTCTAAACTGGGACACTTGAGAGTGAAGGGGGCACTATAACGCTTACTCAGGGACAACCAATGGACACCAGAACACTGCTAAGCAAGCCAGGCCCAGTGACCCCAGGACACCTGTTAGATGGGGGACAATGCTGCTGGTACTGCTGGTGCTGCTTGGTGATGGGGTGCAAGTCTGCTCCTCCCATTTCCCCCACTGCACTTCACAGGCAGTTTGCATTTCTGCTTCTGGGATATGAGCTCATCATCACACAAGTGTGCCTTCAGCTGCTTGGAAGAACCCCTTTTTCTTTGAGCCCTGTTTTCCTAAACTGCAGCTAGAGCAGGCCCCATCTGGTTTTTGTTTTGTGTTTTTTTTTTTTATGGATGGGCCCATGTTAATTGACAGCATACACTGTAGCCCTAGGAACCTGGGGGACTCACAACTGCCCTCTCACATATACAGACACCCCAGTCAGCATTTCCAGTGATGAAGTGATATCCTAGACCTCTACAGGGCTGCCCATGGCCCCTGGAGGTCTGCTCAGTCACTGGAAGAGAGGGCTGTGACTCTCCAGGCCAAGCCTAGAGACCAAGGGTTCTCAATGAATAGCCATAGGGTTGCTTAATAACTGAAGCTTATAAGTGCTTGGAATGTGTCTATTTAACCTGCAACCCTTTAAAATTTGAAGAACCCGAGATTCAGGACAGTTCAGAGAGCTGCCAAGGTTATCTAGGGAGAAAGCAGAGAAGCCGGTGTTTGCACTTCAGTCTCTTAGCCTTCAACAACCTTACTCCTGTTTGTGTTTCTCAAAGAACACCCCTGAGGTATGCCAGATGATTTTAGGTTACAGATGGTCAAGCTGTAGAAAAAAATTTTTTTATATTTACTTTAACTTGAACAAGAGAAAGACCACAACTGGCACACAGCACCTGTGATATTGCAGGTATTATTGTTTAGGATGTAAAGTATACATTTAAATGAGAAAAGGTGAACTTCGTGAAAATGCTAAGGTGATGAGTGGACACAGCCCATCCAGAGGAGGGCTGAATTTAGAGTGCAGGTCCTAACTCCGGTTTGTATACTTTGTGTCAGGCTCAGAGTGCCTGAGCCTGTGACCTGAGTAGCTGTGTCCTGCTTCATGTTATCTGTGCCTTTTAGCCCACCATGGTCCTCCCAGGACAAGAGCATCACTATAATGTTCTAATTCTTAGACTGACTGAGGTTACTGATCTGGGCCCTGTTGACTCTATTATTTATTGAGCGCTCAAAGCTTCCTAATCAGACCCTGTATTACTCTGAGATTGAATTACAAAATTTAAATACCACTATACATTTTTTTAAAAAGTGTACTTAGCTGCCAAACACTTTCCATTTGGTCTGAGATCTGTCAGTCTTTCAAATCCTCTAAAAAACAGGCAATTTTATAAATGGTAACCAATCACCAGAATTTGTGGATATCATCTTTAAGGTGCAAAAAGTCATATTGAGAGCACATTATTTCTGTGCTTATCAAACTAGGATACATATAAGGAGCATGTGGTACCTAAGATAGCATGATTCATCTTCCTAGAGGATATGAATTGTATACTCATGTATTACAATACCTGGAAGAGGAAAGATTCTTGTATTACAATTAATTATGGAACTAGAACACAGTTTATACTAGCACTTATGATAAAACACAGCATCAAATCACTTCAATGTCATGATTGAAGTGAGAAGTTTCTGGGGGGGGGGAAGCAAAAAGCTCTGTGAAAAGCAAAGCAGTAAATACAGGCATACCTGTTTTATTGAGCTTCATTTTACTGCACTTCATAGATGTTACATTTTTTACAAACTGAAGGCAGATCCCTCCACCAACAAAAGCAACACAACTCGCTTTACTGAGATACTTTATTGTGGTCTGGAACAGAACCCACAGTAACTCCGAGGTGTGCCTATATGCCTGGGACTAATTACTATAACCAGGGTCGCCTGTGACATTTCTTTTGCTCTGATTTTCTACTGATTGTGTTACTTTAGTATGATAAAATATTTCAAGTGTCTGCTTACTGCTATCTTATCTACTTTAAAGGTATTTTATTACTTAAGTGAATTATGCCAATATTAGTAACATAGAGTCTCTTTTATGAACAAAGCCAATATCTATTTATTAGCAGGAGCAAATAAATTACAATTCCATTCTTATATTTTTATAATTCAACCTAAGATGTCTTACGCATACCTACATACCTCATTGTGCCTAGCAGCAGATGGTCAGAAAATGATTTCTAAATTGGATTAACCTTTCATTTTTCACTGAAATAAATATTATTGTATTTCAACAGAAACTAGTTACTTGAATCTCTTTGATCTCATTTCCATCTAAAGAATTTTCCCAATGCAGCAGCATCACGGTTGAGTCACGTGCTAGATCTGTTCACCACACTTCTGAAACTCCTAATTTATGCAACTCAGTAACAGTAGCTAACACTCAGAAAGGACTACTTCTGAGTCAGGATCTGATCTAAGCCCATATTAGTTAAAATTCATACATTAACTCATTTACTCCTCACAAAAACTCTCCAGGGCAGGTGTTACTCCTATTTTACAGAGAGATTGAGAAACTTGCCATGGTCACACAGCAGCTGATGCTGTTCTACAGTGCCTTCCACACGTTCTATTTAATGTCAGTCCATTGTTCATGGGTCCACAAATTATATGCTGCTTGTATTCTCAGTATTTCTCACAGAAAAACAGGCTATCTGAAAGAAAATTATATACTTTAAGCTTAAAAGTGTTACGTAAGTATCACATAGCTTATTAAAACCTATTGACATACCTTTAACTAATAAAGGATCAAAATGACAGATAACAAAGTTTAACCCTTACGTCTTCTCATCACAATGGTTTGGGAACTGAAATCTATTTTTTTCCCCAGTACGAAGAAACCCTCCCTACTGTCAGGTGGAATTAAAGTGCAGTGCAAGCCCTGGGGGGCATCTTAACCTAGTTCATCTTCCTTCATTATACTCGGAGATGGCCAACCTGAATTGCTGAGTGCCCCAATACTGTTGGTACAGGATGTCATACTTAAGGGTTTAGACTGTTTTCCTTTAGTTCTCTGCTCTCACAGTGAAATACTTCAAGCATAATCTTTGCTGAGTTCCAAAAATTTCAGCAGGCTGAAAAATCATGGTAATGGAAATGTTACCCCCAACATTTCAATTTGGAAACTGAAGCTCATAGAAAGTCATCAAAATTCATTTTAAGTCAGATTTATTGATTGCCTACAGTGTGCATGGTCGTCTATTAGACACAATGAAATTCAGGCACAAAACAGACACAAGATCCCTGGCCTCAGGAACCTTATGATCTAATTAGTATAACACACATTAGAAACAAAGGACAGACAAGTTACATCTCAATGCTCACTTACTAGAATTGACATTAAAGAGCAGTAATTTAAGTAACCCAAAATGACATCTAATCCTAAAATCATTTATAAAATGTATTTGGCCTTGAAATCCACAGCACTTCAAGCAAGACAATCAAGTTCCACTGCAGATAAAGTCACAAAGATGCAAATACACTGAAACCCGTAAGAGCGTTATTGTGTTTTGTTATTTTGGATTTTCTGCTTTCTTCTAATTATCGTTCTCAGTCTCCGTAATACCAGCTTATCAGACAGAAGCATGTCATCTTGTTGTTCTAGATAATCCAGCAAATTTTCAGTCCATTCAAGTGCAGCTTTATGGCTAATGTGCTTTTCTGGATTTACCTCTGTTTTTCTAGTCTTGTTGAAAGGCTTTTGCTCAGCAGGCTTAGGCTGGTCCTCAGCACCCTCCCTGTCCGTCAGGACCTGGCAGCTTGAGTCGCTACTCTGAGAGTCAAACCACTGATCAATATTCTCAATGTCAACGTGTTCACAGTCTTCTGTATTCTGTAAAACCGTTGCTAAGTTAGCTGCTAAAATGGCTCCTTCATCAATGTTCATACCTGAATTCTCTTCGTTGCCAGGGAAAAGTTTCTTCCAAGCTTTGGTTATGGTACTAGATTTGACCATGTTCCAAGCTCTTGACGCTTCATAAATTGCATCCAACACCGTCAAGTTCTTCCAAAACATTTTTGGGTCGGTTCCTTCATCCACGTATTTCTGGAGAAGCCCTGCTCGGTAGTATCTTTTTACCGTGGCTAGAACTCCCTGGTTCATAGGTTGAATTAGACTTGTGACGTTTGGTGGCAGGTATTTCACAATTATCCTGCCATCATCTGAACTCAACAGTTCTTCATTTGGGTGTGCTGGAGGAAAATCCAAAAGCAGTACTGCTTTTTCTAGAAGCCCCTTGGATTTCAAATGCTTCTGTACCTGTGGCACAAAGTATTTTTCAAACCACTGTCTGAACACAGAATGTTCTATCCATGCACTTTTCTGACTGAAATAAGTGACAGGAAAGTTTGAGAGGTCAGCTCCTTTGAACGCACGGGGTCTTTTTGCTTTTCCCACAACACAAAGATTAAGTTTGTGTAAACCTGTGGCATTTGCACAACACATAATGATGATTCTCTCTCTGCTTGACCTATAACCAGAAGTATTTTGCTCAGTTTCAAGAACTAATGTCCTGGATGGTAAACATTTCCAGAATAACCCAGTTTGATCAGCACCATAAATTTGCTCTGGCTGTAGATTCTCTCTCTCAATAAATTCCTGAAAGTTGCCGCAAAATTCACTGGCAGCAGTTTCATCTCCTTTTAATTTTGTTCCTTGACTAGCAGCCTTTGGAATACCATGGCGCTGCTTAAATCGAGTTAGCCATCCAGATGATGCACTAAAGTCGCCTTCCATCCCTAAAGCATCAAAAAAGAACTTGGCTTGTTTTGCACAAATCGCTCCGGACACCGGAATCCCATCTGTTTTTTGTTGGTTAAACCACTCTATCATAACTCTATCCAGTTCCTCGTATGTTGATGACTTCATAGATTTACGTTTGGATACCCCACTTGTAGGATCTGAGCTGTTTGCATAGTTTATTATCCTATCTTTGTTCTTTTTAATATCTCGAACTGTGGATTCACCAATTCCATACACCACAGAAAGTTTTTTGAAAGAAATGCCTTCCTCAAGCTTCTTAATAATGTCAAGCTTGTCCTTAATTGTCAACACCACACGCTTACGTTTCCCCAACATTTTAGTGTCTAATATTTTAGGTGATTCCTAGAACAAGATATTTAACCACCTTGACTTGAACACAACAAGACTAGAAAATGGGGTTTTAAAAATCCCTCCCGTTCCCCCAGGACCTAGATGGATAGCATGCTGGCCAATTTCTAGGCAAGGCGTATGTGACTCTCACTTTGCTGTTTGAAAACTTACAAAATTCCTCAACAAGTACCCGCTCCAATTAACCCTATCATCTACCTTCCTTCCTCCTCATTTAGTTTAAGGTTTTTTTCATGAACTACAATCTCAGTGGAGACTGCAACCAATACTGGACCAGCAAGTTCTCTAAAACAGTCTTACTGCAAACTCAATTCTTCTTGCCGTCGTTACAGGTGAGGTTATTTGCTAAAGGACTAAGGCTCAGGAGGAAGTATTTTGGGAAATGTGCTGGCAAATAAATAGTTTAAGAGAGGATTTGCATACACGACATATAGGAAAATATAATGGGAAAACTCATCCCGACTCTCAGGCCCTGCACTTAGTGGAGTGCTGCCTCCTCCAGGCAAGGACAGTCACAGGGACAGGCAAGTGAGTGGCTATGAAAATCATAAGCAAGCATAAGGTAAGGCAGGCTGGGCAGGAGCGAGCGGTGCAAAAAATAAAAAAGGGAAGGCGGACAGGACAGGCAGAAAACTTTGTACGTTAACACGACACAGACTTAGACCTAATGTATTTAACAACTGGAAAGCAAATGGGGTAGACAATAGGTGGTGTCACATGATCAAAGCAAGCATCGAAAAACTTCATCGGTGGAACCCAGGGCTCATGGTGGAGGGTATGGGGTGGGCGGCTCAGGGACGATGTTATACACAATCCTGGTGAAGGAGGGTCCTCGGTGGGCCAACAGAAGTACTGCAGGTCCTGTGGGGGGCTGCAGAGGTATTCGGAGCCTCCGAAACCTAAAGGAAAATACCAAAAAACACATTTTTTTCCCAATATCAGGGTCTGCGGCATTACCCACATCTACCCTGAAACTATGTTGAAAAAAATTAGCGTCTCCTATCCACGTGATGGCTAAATACGACAAATAACGCGCTCAGGCATTCATTACCTAAAGTGACAGAGCGGGACCCGGTCGCCTACCTCCGGAGACTGAGGGGCCGGCGCGCAGCCGAG